GGTGAGCGAGAAGGAGGGTGGGCCGGGTGGGACAGGCTCTCACCAGGACCCTGTGTATGCATGGAGAGGGAGAGAAGAAATGGAGCTTGGGGGGTGTTTGGACGGGTCACTGGCCACTGTCTGAGATGCCCACACCAGCTCCTTCCCAACCACAGCCTGAGCTCAGTGCCAGAGGCCCCACCAGAGGGTTGGACACTGCTGGTCAAATGAACAAATCCTGAAAGTGCAGGGGAAACCAGTCAAAAGAACGCCTAACTGGAAAGAGCTCCCAACGAATGGCCTTCCCACAAACTAGCCCGAGTTACATCAGAGTTTATGACCTGAGGTTTGCGAGGGCAAATGCAGATGAAAAGAACAGTCACCGAGAGAAGCGCAACATGCAGTAGATAATGGTAACCACAACGCTCCGAATTCTCACCATGTTTTAAGTCTCAAGCTTTTGCACCATGCTTGCTTGCTGAGAGATAATGGGTGTGTGTGTGGGGGGGGGGGATGTTGCTCCTTTCTCCCCCTTCCACATATTCAGCATGTGAAGAACCATGGACCAAGTGTGTCAGCTGAACGACTGGTCCCAACTCTTCATGCCTCTGTAGTAGGACCTTACATCCGCTCCCTCATCACGGCTTCCCTGTGGGCAGGTGGCACATTTCACCCACTTGCTTTGGGCTTGGTCATTGACTCGCTTTGGCTGGGAGGCTGCTAGTAGAAGTGACCCAAGCAGAGACTTGAGGTGTGCTTGTGTGTTTGGATTTTCCTTCTTGTGCTCTGGGAATGACCATAAGAGAAGTATTATCTAGGAAGCCCACTAGTCCTAGAGTAACAGAACATGAACCTAAATATAATTTGCAACCTGGAGCCAAGCCCAGCCAAGCCCAACCCAACCCAGCCAACCCACAGACCTTCGAGCGAGAATTAGATGCTTTGGGTTGCTTGCCGCTGAGACTCTGTCATGGAACAACAGCTTACTAATCTGGACAATGATAACAAATATCATTCACTCAGGAATCACACTGTGCCAGGTGGCATCCTGGCTATTTTCCACACACCTTCCCACGTAACCATGACAACATCCCTAAGACACAGGTGTCGCCCTCTCCATTTGCAGAGAAGAAAACTGGGGCTCAGATGGTGAAAGCAATGTGTCCAAGGTCAGGGCTAATATGTGAAAGGTTAGTATCCAGGTTTGTCTGCCTCCAAAGCCCAGGCTGTGTGTCAAACTTGCCTCCATATGGAACAGGAGCAGGGCCTCTACTCCGTGCCTAGCAGTCTTGATACCCTAGGTTAGGAAAGTGTGTCATTTTATTTCATGACTTTATTTCCATCAAAATACATCAGAGCCAAGGACCGTCTTTTTCAAATGATGACCAAGTTCATCTATCAACTCCAATGCAGACAGCCCTGCAGACAACGATGACGAGCCTTTTCAAAGGAAGCACCAGTGAGCCATCTCCGCCCCACCGCCAAATGCTAGAAGCTGCATCCACAGGTCTGTTCCACAGCCAACCGCTAACTATGAGAAGTCATGTGCCTGGAGAGATGGTGGCGCTCCCGGAAATACTCATGGCAAATGGGACACGTGAGGGCCTCTTCTCTCAGCTTCTTAGAATGTAAGTCAGGCCCCACATGTTCCTTTTTGTGGTGGGACCGCATGTGGAAGACCAGGTCGGAGGTCAGGCGAAAGGAGAGGTTGCATTTTGCACACCAGTTCTGGGTGGACAGGCCCAGGGAGGTGAATGTAGGTGGCAGCAGGGCCCAAGTGGCAGTGGAAGAGGATGATGATGGTGTGGACATCTGGGCTGTGGCATGCTTTAGCCACAGTGTGGGGGCCCCCAGGAAAGCACTGCAGAGAGGAGCATTTTGTGGCAACGTCTGCAGGTTCCAGAAATCACCCACCAAAAACTTAGAATTCGAAAGCTGATCCCAACAAGGGACGTCTACCGTGTTGCTGAGTCCCAACAGCTCCCCAAGGGCATCTGCAGGTCCACGTGCCTGGAAGACGGAGGTTGGCCCAGGTCTCCCTGCTGGACACCTGGCTGGTTTGCTGAAGGCGCTTTTCTGCTCCCCTCGGGCTCCACTGGGCCACACAGAGGTCTTGCTGTCAGCCAGGTCCCTGGGGGTATCCTGGGTCAGCTTCTGGGCACCAGGCTGGCCTGTGGGGTTATCATGCTCCCTCTCCTTGGCCTGCACACCCTCCAGCCTCTTCTTGAGTCGAGGCACCTCTGTGAAAGCACTCTGCCCCTGTTCCCAGCACACCTTCTGGGCCATTGGCTTTCCCAGTCTGAGTTTTCCTGGGGTTGCTGACAGTGCCACCTCAGCAGAAGTCTCCTCCCGGCCACCACCACCCATGGCAGCCTCAGAGCCCAGGTTGTTCATTTTTTCCAGCAGCACTGGCTTGCAGCTCCAGCCCTGGTCAGCTTCACTAAGCCTCCATGTGTTTTCAGCCGAAGACCTCTGCAGAGCACCCTTCCCAGCAGCCATGACGACCAGCAGGCTGTGAGCCAGCTGAAGAAGGCGGACGCTCCAACAGCTGTCAGTCTTCAGGGCTTTGGTGTTGTGGAGGCCTTGCCCCGGGGAGGAACCGTGAGATTGGAGAGCTCCCCTGTTGGCTGGGCCAGCCACACTTGGACCACAGGACTCTGCACAGAGAGGAAGCAACAGCAGTGAGACACGAGCCCTCCATCTTCATTGTTTACATCCAAAGAATCCTGACTGCTATAGACACGACAGCTCACCCTGACTCAGAGCGCTATGCCACCTGCTTTCACCTCCAGGACTCCGTCGGGGAGGAAGGACCACACTGCGTGACCCTGCCACCCAGGGACATGGCTCAGCATTGCCCCGCACCTGTCAGCATCCAGGCAGCAGCTGCCGTGTTCACACAGCACACGAGGTGTCCACCAGGCAGTTCTGACCCGGTTGCCAACTCTAATGTGCTTGCACCCTGATTTATGAAAGTTTTCATTTTTGTTTAGAGCATTCTTGCTACTCAGCATGCCAATGTTTCTTCCACAGCATCAGAAGTGCCAGGGCACAAGCACCTGGGGACTGGAGCTCCTGCAGCACAGGTGGCCAGAGGGTAGAAGCTGGACAGTAAATGTCCAGGCATCCTGAGTAGGTCTGTGGTTGTACCTGGCCCCACTCCCACTCCGGGGGGGCAGCCACCTGTCCACCCGGCCCTGTCCCTTGGAACAAGCATGAGTCTACCCTGTATCCATTCAGACATTAATCCATTTCCTTCTCCTCTGCTCCCCTGTCAACTGTCCTCTCGTGCCGGCCAACCTGCTGGGCCTACTCAGGGAGACCAGCCTCCACTTCGGCCTGGAGGTGCTCAAGGCTCAGAGGAAAGACACTCACGGCCACATGTGAGGTGGCATTGAAGAGGAGAGAGTGCCACCAGCCCTGCTGGGGAGGCTTTCATACCTGCCCTCCCCTAATCAACTCCACCAGCCAGTTCTTGAAAACAGGACACCCATCTTCAAGCTCCCCAATCCCAGCTGGTGAGCAGCACTGGCTGAACCAGACCCCACTGAGTGTTCTGAGTTTTCATAGCTAGAAAGCAGTTATCCTCAGGCCTGCTCAGGTCCTCAGGTCCTCAGGTCCTATCCTCAGGTCCTCAGGCCCAGGAGGACCGTGATGAGTGGGCAACCAAGTCCCTTCCTCACAGGGACCTCCACGGGCTTGTTATTCATAAACATCACTGGGCTCAAGTCAGCTCCCGCCCACCTGTAAACAGAAGCACAGGTACCCTGCCCTCCTTCTCTCTGTCTCAGTGGCAAGAGTGTGGACAGGTGTTTTGCACGTGTTACCTCCTTCCACCTTCACTGCGCTTGGAGGACCGTCACCCTCTTTCACAGAGGAAGAGGACATGGGTTCTGGAAAGCTGAACACCCCGTCTGAAGTCCTCTGCAGCATGAGGCACTGCTGGGAATGAAACCCAAGGGTGTGTCCCCAAAGCACGCTTTGGTTGAACTGCCCATGTGGCCCTCACGATACCCCAAGTGGTGAGCACCGAGTCCAAACTATATGCTTCCAGGGGAGTCCAAGCCACTCCTAACATCCTTTCCGAATTCATTCTCAAATGGGGTGCCTTTGGCATCAAAGTTTTGTGCTAGCTTATGCTTCTTGAAGAGGCAGAGGCGACCATGCCAGTCTACCAAGTGTCCCTGCACTGACCATCCCACCTCTCTCAACCTCAATGTCCTGTCTATAAACTAGAGCTGGTGCTAAATTATCTCACTGTGCTTTCCAGATCTACCAGTGTATGACTACTTGAGATGAAGCTGATTCTCCCTCATCCTCAAAGAATAGCTGGTGTGCTTGAAGCCTCTCTGCTGAGCTTCTGAACTCACAAAGACGCACACGCACCCAGATACACTCACACCCTCACATGTACTCACACACGCTACACTCACACCCTCAAATACACATATACTCACAGACACACATACACACACACATATGATCGCACACACTTACATACACTCACACTGGAATACTCATACACACACAAACATCCCTTCTCTAACCCTTCTTTCTCCACCCAGCTCTGCCTCAGACAGCCCTCCAGATTATATTTTAGAACCATACAATGTCTTCCCCGAGCCTGGGCTGGAGCCCACCCTGCTGTCCTCCCGGTCCTGTTGCACCCCTACATCCCTTTGGCAGACAGCTCTACTGGGCTGTCTTCACAGCTTTGCCAACCACAGTCAGGTAGACCTAGTTTTCAGAAGTGTCTGGAGTGCCCTGAGCCACAGATGTTACAACCCTGCTTTCAGCATTCAAATTTAGAATATGGGATCTTACTGCAGGACGAAATATTTGCTACCAGGGATGCTTTGTGATATGAGAATAGAAGTGACTGTTTATTGACTATGTAAGTGAATACGTGCCAGAGATGCTAAAAGGCTTCGTATGCCTTATTGCATGGAATTTTCATGATAACCACACAAGGGAAGCTGCATGATCCAACCCAAGGGCATTAATCTCCAACCTAACAAATGCCACGTTGCTAAAGGCAGCACTGCCTTCCAGCTTCCTAGACCAATATGGGCCTGGATTCTGCCAATCATTATGTTAGACATTCACCCATCTTCATGCTCCATCAATTTTATTATTCAAATCTTAATCATAATAATGAGAACAACAGGAGGAGGAGAAAGAAAAGGACATGATAATAATGATGATGATGATAATAATAATAATAATAATAATAATAATAATAATAATATTGGGGCACCTGGGTGGCTCAGTCAGTTAAGCATCTGACTTCAGCTTAGGTCATGATCTCACAGTTCATAGGTTCAAGCTCTGCATCGGACTCTGTGCTGACAGCTCAGAGCCTCAAGCCTGCTTCAGCCCTCTCTCTCTCTCTCTGCCCCTCGCACACATACGCTCTTTCTTTTTCTCTCTTTCTTTGTCTCAAAAATAAACATTAAAATTTTTTTAAATAAAATAATAATAATAATATTGAGGAGGAGAAGAAGAAGAAAAGGAGAAGACGAGGGTACTGAACTAGCTGGGGACCTTTGGCATGACCAAGCTCCCAGAGGGTCACCTCTTTCTCATGCATCAGCACTGCTGGGGTAAGGTCACTCACACAAGTGCAAACAATGTCCTACAAAATTCTATCTGGGGCTCCCTCTAACTGGTCCATTCTGTCTATGACATTGCCAGATTGAAGCCTCTCACAGCCGAAATGACATGTGCCTGGCGTGGCCTGTCCCCAGTGAGCCTGTGCCAGCTCCTGACACTCCTCTCTTCTTCTCGAAGGACTCACAGGCCCTTTCCCAGGGTCAGCATCAGACTCTGGGTCTCATCCAGCTCCAGGATCCATGCACCTCCCCTGTGATCCAGCTCTCAGATGACCTGAGCAGATGTATGATGTCACCTCTGGGGTCACATCATGCCCTGGCCAGTGAGTTCCGGGTCAGGAGATCACAGGCACAGCAGCTTGGTGCTGCCTTGCTCCTTCTTCCTACGTGGACCTACCCATGCCCTTTGTCACTAGAGACGGTTCTCAGCCAGACATTCCAGTGGATGTATGCAGCCCTTGTTGTCCTTGTTCCCATGCAATCTTAAGGGGCCCTTTGCTGTCCCTCCACTGTCCTCAATAGCCTCAGTTCATTCTGGGCTCTCGACCCAGACACTATTTACTCGTCCTCTTCACTCTGTTATGTGTGTCCTGAGAAGGGTTCTCTTGTCCTCCTTGGATCTCTTCAGTCTGAGCTCAGCAAGATAGTCTTCTGAGTCACACAGACATTGTTCAGTGCCACCCCGTGTCTTCTGACTGAGAGGACCTGATTTCAATCCCACACTTTGCAACATTTCTGAGCCCTTAGATTGTGGGATAATGAAGTAATGATCTTTGAAATCTTCTGAATCTGAGTTTCCTAAGTTGATATGGTGTGACCACATCCAGCCTTCCCTGTCATACAGGATCCTTTTCCCTCAGACTCTCAATCTTCCTGGGCCACAGTGAGGATTCCACTGACCAACACAGGAACGGCTACCCACTTGGAGATGAAGACTCACCTATCCCACAGTGTTATAAGCATTGTGTCTCTGTTTATTACCCATTTCCAGGGCACTGAGTGCAGACTCCAATCATTCTTTCACCTGGGAAACACTGGCCACATTCTTCCATATTACTTTTCTGTTTGTGCTATGACTGGCCCATCCCATGTACTCATCAAGCCTTCCATCACATAGAGGTTAAGTGCATGGCCTCTTACGTCAGATGTCTGGATCAAACCCACCTCTGCTCTTACCAATCTTGTAACCATAGGCAAGGTGCTGATCCTCTCTCTGACGACTTTCTCATCTAAAAGAGGACCCTTTCTAAAAAGGATCATCCTGGGGTCCGCTTCACCAGGTGGTTGTAAAGATTAGATGGATTAATATACCTAAAGTATTAAAGAGCCTGGTTCAGTAAGTGTTAGGTAGCATCAATTTATCAATTATTATCACACTAGTACAAAGGGTCAGAGTCAACCTCATGGCTGCCTTCCCTCTACTCACGTGCTCCCTGGAACCAGGGCACAATACTGTTTAATGAGTGACCAAATGCCCTGGGCATTTTCCTCCTTCCCCCTTCATTCACAAAAGAAAGAGGTTTTAGCAAACAACTGGGCAACCTCATTTCCTGAGATATCTGAAGGTACTCTCCAGCCTATGTCAGCTGGCCAGTCTCCAGCTTTTCCAAGCTGCAGCTCACTCAGAAACTGGATCTTATTCAACGATACCATTTATATCACCAGCTAGTGTCTTCCTGTGTCTGCCTTCCTTTTTAGCTAAAACAGGAGCAGATAATATCTCCTGTGCTCCAATCATTTGATTTCCCTAGACTTTGGAGATGCTTCTCAGACCCTGAAGGAAGGTTCCAGAGGATAATTATCTATCCATCTCTTCTACGTATGGATTGTGATGTCCTGGGTTTTCCTGAGAAGGGAAATACACATGCATCTTCCTAGCTCTGGACCCCTGAGAAA